GCAGCTCTTGCTTTCACTGTAGTGCTGGAGGCAGGGAGACTGGTGAGCGAGGAGTCGATAGTGCTGGCTAAAACTGATCCCTTCTGCTCTTGGTCTGACCCAAGGCAGCCTGCATCTGTGTGCAGGACCCCATGAAGACAGGAGGGCTACCCCATAACTCCACCTCAGCTTTTCACCTGTCTCCCCAGTTCTCAGCAGATGAGGCTAGGTTATCTGTATTGCTTTGGTTTCCCTGCCTTACTTTGCTGGGGAAAGCTGTTGCTCCTTAAATTTCCTTTTCCCAGCAGAGCCGTGGCCTGGTGCACCTGATTGCAGCAGTCCTGCCTACGGCACAGTGCCTGGGCTGCGGGCAGAGGAGACACGCTCCTTGCTGTAGTATGGAGAGCAGTCTGGACTGAGGGCTGAGCTATATGCCTGAGGCAAGGCTGCATGATGGGCGGAAATAAAACTGCATGTTTTATTTTTGTAGCATGTCTTACGCTGTAGAAGCATTAGCAGAAAGTTAGATGGTTAGATGGCCTGGACCTGCACCTGCCTCTGCCATCATCCTGGCTCCGTAGCTGATGGGAAGAGCAGCTTCTCCAGTGCCACCACCCAGATAAGAAGCTTTTCCAGCTGTACCAGGCCAGCATTCCCAGCCGTCATCCCTCCAAGGGGGACGAAGCAGCAGCTGCCCCAATCCTTCTTGGTGGATTTAGGTACTGGGGACTGCGACCTTGCTGCAGTTTGATGTCTGAAATCTTCCCAACTCCTAAGTGCTCTTCCAGCCCGAACCACTGGATGGGGCAGGAGGAAAAGACGTGGTTTGATCTCAACTACATTCCTCAGGAGCAGCAATCGGGAAAGACACTGTGTTCCCTGCTGAGCCAACCCTGGCAGCAGAGTCCCCCTGCTCCCCACACAGAGTGGACGAGGGATCGCTGTGCCATCAGCTAATTTCTGCACTGACTCCAGACACCCCAAAAATGGCAAAAGAATAAACTTGTGGAGACTGGCGTCTACTCGTAAGCACAGCTCAAGCACCCTGGA